TTCTCAGTGATGCATATAGTGGAGGCTGGCTGAGCTCCTGGGCCTTTTTGTCTCTTATCTCTGGTCCTTACCGTGCACCTAATTCTACTTGGTTGCTATCATGGGCACAATCTTTGTATGTGAGGGACTATATATATTTCTAAATCTTGTGGGAAAAAACGCCTGTCCTAAATATATGAGGATCTGAGTAACATAATCAGGTGATGTAGTGTGGTTTTACACATGCTCAGCAAGAAATAATTGACTGAGATTCTTTACTTGATAGGCGTACAGATGGGGGTAGAATCAAATCAGTAGGGGCAGAAATAAGAAGAGGCAATGTGGGAAACATGAAGAACATGGTTGGCAAAGATCTCAAGGGGCAAGAGAAGGAAAAACAAAAACTTTTCAGGGTAGGCATTTAGAGGAGGCCTGAAGTCCAGGAGCAACTTCTCAAAGGCCTCAGAGCAGGGAGGCAGCATGGCCTCAGAAGAAAGAGGCTGTTCTGGCAGCTGTCGGCGTGTGGGAGGGAGGTCAGGAAAGTGTAACAGGGCAAGATGGCCTTGCCTGCAGGGCCTGCTGGTATGAACTTGAAAAACAGACATGAAAGTCTGCTCCTCTTCGGGGAGAGGAAAGCTCAGGGAAATCCTGGACAGGGGGACAGAAATCAGTTCAGAGGTGGCCAGAGAAGCTGGAGACAGCTGTAAAGGCCTGCTAGGCTATTGACTTATCTGGATAGGGGTGAAGGTGTAAGTTGGCCAGCCCACTCCTGCAGGCAGGGTGCCACAGAAGGGTAAACAGGGAGGCCCAGGCCCAAGGGCCCAGTCTGAGAAGAAGCCCCTCGGACCCTTCATTGGGTTCAAGGGGAATTAGTTACATCGGAGCTGGAGGGAAATTTGTGTTTGGGACCGTAGCCTCAAGGCCTGTGCCGGGCTGGAGTACAGACAGCCCCTTCCCGTGGACAGGCTCTTTGTACTGGTCATTCTGTAAGCCAGGCCCCAAGAAGGACATTTGCTTCTGAGTCGCTCTGGTTTCAGCTAAAGAAATAAACACATGAGGGTAGGTACAGAGTCCTTCGCTTGCTACCTCCTTTTTTCTTCCGGAGCTTCCCTCCATGAGTTCATGTCCTGAGGGAGATTCATCAGCCTTCATTTGGGCCCATCTCCCAGCCTTGTAGATGAAGAACTGCATGAACATATTAATTTGTGCAAATAAACTCTGAAGACCTAGACCTAGCATGGGTATCTGGAAAAACGGTGGCTGTGTGGGATTTAAAACCTTTTGCAAGGTTCTAACTGTGGACTGCTTTCTTGGTGAGGGCCATTGCAGGCCATCTGCTGAGCGGACTCTAAGGTGGTGATTCCCAGTAGGGGCAGGGGCCCATGGAAATCAGTTCCGGTGTGGAGAGTGGGGTTCATGCTGTCCACATACACTGGTTCAGAGCACCTTCTAAAGGAGTGTATTCTCCTCAATTTGCCCCTAGATTACAAACTGCTGTTCTCATAAGCCACTTGCTAAAGGGAGTATGTCATAAACCTCAGGTTTGCTGAGATGGGAAAAAAGATGGGAAGCTCTGCCTTGGAGTAATCAAGTATTTTCCCACTGGCCCCGAATCGTAGCAAAGCTGCCTGGCCTGCTCAAGGCAGGCCAACCAGCTCCGGCAGGATCATGAAACCTAGGGTATAATCTTTGGCTTCATCCCTGCTGTGGCAGTTGGATAACCAAGCTAGTGTCTCTTTAACCTTCGTTCCTGCCAACCTTAACTGAGAACACCAGTGGATAAATGGCTGTCTGCCGTCAAAAACAATATGTAAGGCTTAAGTCTATGGAAGGAGTGAAAGACTCTAACTAGATAAATGCAAAATCCTCCACTTTGGTCCAAGAAAGCAACTGCACGTCGACAGAGAGGGAGGTTTCATCCAAACAGCAGCTCAGTGAAATAGGCTCAGAGGTTTAATTCACTGGTAGTTCAACAGATGTCAGCAACGTGACTTTTTTTTACATCGTGGACTCAGATGTGTAGCATCATCTAGACCAAGGAAGGAAAATAATCATTCTTCTGCACTCTGATTTGCTTAATCTAGGACACCATGCTAGAGACTGCCCTAAAGAGACCCTAAACTGTCAAACTGTTACACTGAAAATTGTTAAAGAAATTGGCAATATTTAGACGGAACCAGAAAAGACTTGGGGGGTGGGAAGATGTCCACAGTGCTTGTCTTCAAGTGTTTGAAGAACTGTCCAGATAAGAAGGAACTAAGTGTGTTTGCTGGGCCTCCAGAGCTTACAACTAGGATCAGCGGGCGAAAAGCAAAGGGAGACCGGCTTTGATTCAGAATGATAAAGAAATTTCTAATAGTCAAGAGATGTGTAAAAATGAAAGGGGCTGCCCTTGGCAGGAATGAGTAGCTCTCAGTGGATCTATCCAGACAGTGGGAAGCTGCTGTTGATAGGCTCTAAAAGACATTTTGCACCTTGCAGACACTTGAAGAAGGGGACCTCTGAAGCTTCTTTCAGCAACCCCACCCCCACCCCCTTGTAGGTGCAGATGTCAATGGGTGCAAAAGTGGGTGGAGTTCCAGTATCCAGTTAACCCTTCTTCAGCCGTGTGAAAGCATTCTGCAAGCATGCATCCCCTGGCCATGCCAGTGGGGTTCACGCATGCTCAGGCACTGTTGCCAGGGTTTATGTGGGGCAGCTGGGACAGCGTGACCATGCAGACTTCACAAAGGAAAACAATGGGCCTCATCACAAAGCCAGATTTGGATTTCAAAGTTAAACTGAAGTTACCTTTGAGTACAATTAAAAAGGATACGTCAAAATTAAAACCATTGTTAAAATTAATCAAAGATTTAGAAAGGTAGAATGAACTCCAGAGCTGGAAATTACTGATTTAAACAATTGTTCTCACATTTTAAACCACATAATGAGCTAAAAATTATGAAGCCTCAGAGTATAGCTGTAAAGTGTAGTCTAAAACCAAAGTCAGAATGAAATGTTTTAGCTTTCAAAACTAAAAAGCAGAACAATTACTCCCTGCAAAATGGCATAGGAAGAGGTTTCTGACCCCTGCTAATTGTTTTATTATTCTTCAGAGGGGGCACACTGGCGGCATTTCCCGGGGTTTTCAGTAATTACACTCCATTCAATATCTGAAGAATTACAATAATTCTACATGGAATATACTTGTGCCCTTTGGATGCAAAGCCTAGAGAAGTGAAAAAACAACTTAAAGTAAATTAGTAGGAAAATTATCATGGTTCCTGTTTATTTCAGGGCTCCATATAGCAGAGGCTAATTTTACATTGTATGTTATATTTTCTTGGAGGTATTTGTAATATATTTCTCATGCTGATCGACAGACGTGCTGGTTTTTAGGACCCTTTATGAAAACGAAGTTCAAACTTTTCCGATTGCCTCTTTGTGTAGGAGAAATTATCCAGTACAGACACATGTCATGTAATGCTTCCAGAGTCCTCAGAGTCCTCAGAGCAGTAGTATTCAGCAGGGTATTATCGGTGTTCACATGTACATATTTGTGAAGCTTTGACTCTTCTATGAATTTCTTTTCCTGCCAAACAAACTGGAATTTTTTGTTTGTTTGTTTGTATTTTTGTTTTTTAACATTACAGAAGCTTTCTCGAAGTCATTTTCTATACTTTGGCAAGCCAAGGGTCCATGAGAGAAGAAAGCAAGGACTGGAATTACATAGGCACTCAGAGATAAGAAAATCTCTTTTCCTGGCTGGAGCCTTATCAATTTTCTGCTAGTGTTAGAATTAATCCACCATCTCTGCAGGACCCCCTTTAGAGTCTGAGCAGCAAAGGTGTCCTGAGACAATACACAGAGCCTGGGGGTCCCAGCTACTGTTAAAATATCCTGAGCAAGAAATGTACATCCTGGCTGAGAAATGGTGGGTGGGTCTCACTGATGTTTTTCCTCATGTTTCTGTCCTTCCTATTTTTTCCTCCTTTCTTCTTTTGTCTTTTTGTTTTTTATTTTTCTTCTTTTGTCTTAAACTAAGTTGAGTACAGTATAAAAAACTCTCTTATAAGTCTTTATGGCAACCAAAACATTACCAAGAAACTAAGAGGATCACTTAATGATGAAATTAACAAAGGTTAAATAAATTATGATCCATCCATAAGATTGAATACCAACTCATTTTTTAAATGTTTTAAAATGCAAGTGGTGTGGAAAACAGTCACAATGCCAGTGAAAAAATTTCTATCAGAATAGAAAGATGTGTATAAAATATGACTTCAGTTGTCTGAAAAAGATGCTTTTACGTATTTATTTTTAAAGCATTAGAAGGAAATGTACCAAAATATTAATAAAGTGACCCTGTGAAGTGATAGTCTAAGTGATTTTTACTTTGCTCTTAACATTTTCTGCATTTTCCTATTTTCTAAAATGTGCACATTAGTGTGACAATCAGAAAGGAAGAAAAAGGAAGGAAGGAGAGAGGAAATAAAATAATTAAGATTAACACTAAAACACATTCGCTGGAAGTTTAGAAGGGTCTGTATGCAGTGTTTACAAACATGTATAGGTAGAATAGTTTGATTGCATTCAGTCAGTGGAATTTAATACCTCATTACAGAGTCCTGTTTACTGGGAGGAACTTGACAAGCTAACCCTTCTCCAAATCCCGGATAGTTACAAAAGTTCACCGTGACCTCCAGAAGGGATGGTGAAAACTAGTCCCAAGGGGGAAGATACAGTCTCAGAAACAACAGACTGATGTTTATGTCAGAGGCACAAGCAAACAGTTGGACTAGAATTATGCCACGGATATTCCTCATCTGAGAAGCGCCTTGTTCGTGTGACTCTGTGCCTCTCAAGTCATTAAACCAGTGATACATCAGCCGGTTGCCCCCAGATAGTCAGTATCTCAGGAACAGGCTGTTTTTCATGGTCCCAGGTATTACCGAAATAAATAATGGTTTGTTTTCCTTTATGGATTCTATGCTAAGCTTACCTGCACTTCACTCTTTCTTTTTTTTCTCTATTCTTTTTAGCGCATGATTGCAAATACTGCCAGAACAGTGAGATACTGCAGAAGCCAAGCCTTCAGTAAGTGAAATGCCACCGTGTGCTATAATCTAGGCCTGGGTGATTGAGTCCTTTTTAATGAGGCTACAGAGATACTCTAGAAGTCTGGACAGTATCTGATCGTGTCAGGGACCGTTTGGACTGTGAATTGCCATGGGATAGGGGCCTTGAGTTGAAGGATTTTCTAGTTGTAAAACTAGAAACTAACCATAGGAATATTATTTTATGAATGAACTTAAAGAGAATAAATGTGCTCTTTGTAGTGTGGCTAGAGACAACTAAGACATGACTGCCAATAAATCCCACCTCAGACCAACTCTCTTTATGACTCACTGCTTGACGTTGAGAAACTCACATCCATTCCTGATGACTCAGTTCTATCGTTTATAAACCAGGCAAGATAATATTTATTGTCTCTTGGGGTGTTGCAAGAATGCATTCATGTGTGTAACACATTTACAAAAGTTCTCATAGCAGGAATTCATATTATATTTCTAGTATTCCCCGGGTGAATTTAAGATGTTCTTCCTAAATCTGAATGTACAGCACAATAACGGGTACCATACAATGCTTTAATATAAAACTAATACTACTAATAAATAGCAGTCTTAAACTGGTGGGGATTAAATTGCATCACCGCACCAAATCATCGTGCTCGACCAGTGCTACCATCTCCTGGGCTGGGACTTGGGGTGGGGATGGAGCTTTGGCTCCCTCGAGCTGGGCTGGGAGTCAGAAGGTAGCCCCTATAAAGTTCTTCGCTAAATTCATTGTATGAGTCACTTGAAGTCATTTGGCTTATTAAGCCAACATGATAATTTGAGATGGACGTGACTGGGCCTACCGGTAACATCCCTCCCCGCCCCGCCCCCGGTAAACCTTGTGCTAAGAGACTAAAAGTTTCTCAACTCACGAATCAGAGCTATCTTTACCCTTCCTAGCCCAGGCCTGGCCCAAAGTGAGGGTTTGCTAACACAGGATGCCAGACCTGCTAAATGTTCATTTGTTAATGTACAGGGTTGGGGGGGCGGATCTAGGAAAAATAATCTTTACTTGGGGAGCAAGTAGACCTTTAAAATTTTTATTCAAATGATTGTGCCTCCTCTTCCTTCCAAAGTGAGAATAGTCTTGTACATCATCAACTATTGCTGTGTGGATTCTAGAAGAATTGGGGTGTCTCACATCTCTTCATCTTGTAATTTACTGTCTATGTAAAGACATGGCCTTCAAGCTGTTATAAAGTGAATATGAGAATATTGAAGTGATGTCAGTCTACAACGAGGCCCGGTGAATCCAAGGCCCTTCAGGGCGTCCAGAAAATTCCTGAAATTAAACACAAAGTTTTTGTGCCTGAGAGGGTTCATAGCCTTGAGAAGGTTCTCAATGAGATCTAAGAGCAGAAGAACTGCCATAGACTCTGTTTTGTTCCATCAGCCTCTTGGGAAGTACATCCTACATTCACCTACATCTTCTCCTAGAGAAGTCGGCAGGGGTGGGATGGGGAATTATATATCTATATATAAAATACCCACTGCATTTGTTGAAGTTATCAGTAACTGCTGGTAAACAACAGCTGCTCAGTGCTGAAGTCAACAGTCTATAGATAAAGCTATAGGAATAGATTCGTAAACATTGTGGGGATATGTACAATGTAATTACAGTATATTGTACATGTAGGGTACACTGCCAGGGAAAAGCGAGGAATTAAACACTGTGGTATTATTTATATGTAATCATTATACTGATGAGTTTCTTCTTAGAGTGAGTAGGGGCCTTTGTATCTTCTCTCTGTTTTTCTATGTTCAGACCTGCACCACTACCCTCCACCCCTGATGCAGATGGCATTCCAACTGTCTTTGGGAGTGATGCGTGGATCTAAGCAGGAGGCGGTGTGTTAGGAGGGGAAGAACCCCGGCCCAGAGTCTAGACTCCGGCTCTGGCCACTCCCAGTGCCCTGCTCGATGAGAGCCCCACGCTGGTGATCCAGGGGGCAGAGGTGGCCCGTGGCCCACCGCACAGGTGCTGGGTCCAGCCAGAGCATTTCCCCCCTCTTGTTTGGAAACAATGTTAAGAAACGGAGAGAGTTCCCAGGGGAGAAATCCAGACCTCTCATTTCTCGAGAAAAGTAGGAAGATCTGGCAGCTCAGGGTGCAGATTGGCATGTGGCCACAGCGTGCAGGAGTTGAGGAGTCACTTCCAAAGGGAGCTGTGTTTCCAGTTCACCACTGTCAGATTTGGCCTTCCTCATTCACGTAGATCTCTGCGGAGGGCTCTGGGCACTTGATGCTTCTTTCAGCCCGGTTTTAGAGAAAGCTGTTAACTTCCGATCGCTCCCATGCTCACATGTGTTGGGGGAGTAGGTGAGAATAGAATAGTAACTGGGATTTCAGAACAAGTAGAATCAGGGAATTGAAGGTCTAGCGGAAGTTACGACTTCAGCCCACGTGCGCAGGCTTGCTGGAGTGGAGGGGGGTGGGAGGGATGGGGTGGCTGGGTGATGGACATTGGGGAGGGTATGTGCTATGGTGAGCACTGTGAATTGTACAAGACTGATGAATCACAGACCTGTACCCCTGAAACAATACATTATATGTTAATTAAAAAAATAAAAAAATTTTTAAAAAAGCACACATCAGTGAAGGAATGCTGTATACCGGATGCAAGTAATGAGGAGAGTCAGACTTGCTAATCTCACTGGTTTCAGTTCAGCCCAGGTGTTAAGCGCTTTTGTTAGGAGCTAACGAAAACTACATTAGTCTTGTCTGTAACAAAGGGGGCAGAGAGCTGAGTGTGAGACCCAGGTGGGATGGAAAGAGGAAGCAATTTTAATGTATAACCAGGGGCCATCAAGTGATGCTTTCACTTTTATTTGGTGCCATTTTTTTTTTTTTTTACAACATGCTATACAAAGGAAAATGATCAAAATAGATGATTCCAGGGAAGAAAAGGGTGGGAGAGAGGAGATGGAATATCCAAGTGGACATATTTCAATGAATATGGTATGTTGAAAGGTTGCAATGGAACCTTGGAATCCATGATAAATGTAATGATTAATTGGAGGAAATAAAGCTGTATCTTATATGCATATATTACACAATGCCAATTTGCTCTTTTCTCCTTCAACAGATCCTGATGCAGCTCAAGCTAATAAGAACCATCAGGATGTCCGGAGTTATGTACGGCAATTAAATGTGATTGACAACCAGAGAACTTTATCACAGATGTCACACAGATTAGAGCCTCGTCGACCATAGACATTTAAAGTGCCCAGAACAATGGTTTGCCTCCAGTCCACAGTTTTTCAAAAATGCCATTTACGCTACTACTGACTGTCTTGTCACTAGAAAATTCTACAAAACAAGCAGAAACGCACCCTGAGACATCTCAGGGCCACAGCTTACCAGCGTCCTGACAAGAGGAGAAATTCTTTGACTTGCATAAAGCCTTCACACTCTAGCTTAGGACTCCCCAATTTGTAGTCATCCTATTTTATTTCCAATTGTGCTATCCTCTTTGCTGAAACATAAATTAAGTCCCACATGAAGAGTTTGGAAGAAATACCATTGTCAAGAGACATAGCAAGCCCCTGACGGTTTTTCTCAGAGAGTTGGCAGGGGGAGATATGCTACAAATAGGGTTTACTTGGCTACATCCGTGGTGGTCTAGTTTCACAGTTTTTATCTCAACACCTTGATTTGGAGCAGGGGGTTCTTGGAAGGTGGTGAGGAATCATGTAAATCCAAATCATAAGCTGTATTCTAGCATCTTCATAGTCTTACCTCTGAAGGAATTAAACCCCACCACATTACTATAAAACATTATGGCTATTTATGTAATTTAGGGAGGACTGGTCTGTAATTTCTGAATGATATATAGAATAATATTTATGTTTACAATGTAACTTTTTTAAACTTACAAATCAGGATTACATACATAAGAATTCCACTAAGAAACTCCAAGGTTCTAAAAATTGCCAGCGTTAAGATAAAAAAAAAAAAAAAGAAAGAACATTTCAAAAGAGCACAATAGGCACAAAACATTTTTCAAAATTAAAATATTTTCCTGGGCATTAAAAACCTTTACTATTGGCTAATTATTGTTACTGATTAAAAAAAAAACACATATTTTCTGGACTTAAATGTTATTACAAATATCTTAATTTTCAGCAATTGTTTTGCACTTTCAAATAGATTGTAAATAGTTCACTCAATCAACGGTATAGAGTTATTTATTTGCTATATAATAGATATTGTGCCAAATGATTACTTTTTATTTATTTTATTTAGTATGTAATTTTGGAATACATTCTTTCCTGTTTTCACAATTAGGCTACATTTAATGTGTAGGAATTGTATGTATGTATATCTTCTGTAAATAACAGCTAGTATCTTCATTAAATATAATTGTTGACAAGAAAAGGTTGTGTTATTCTCAATTCTGATAATATGGGAGGTATAGTGGGGTCCCAGCGTTTTTGTATTTGAAATAAAATTCACATACTATAAAAATCACCCTTTTAAAGTGCAAAATGCAGTGGTTTTTAGCATATTCACAAGGTTGTTCAACCATCATCACTAATTCCAGAACATTCTCCTCATTCCTGAGAGAAACCCCATATTCATTAGCAGACACACCTCATTCTCCTCTCCCCCCAGTCTCTGGAAACCACCACCTGCTTTCTGTCTCTGTGGACTTACCTATTCTGGACATTTTGTATAAATGGATTATATAATATGTAGCCTTATATGTCTGATTTCTTTCACTTGGCGTAACATTTTCAAGGTTTATCTGCGTTCTAGCGTGTATCAGTACTTCATCTCTTTTTATGGCTGAATAATATTTGATGATGTGGATATACCACTTGTTTGTCAGTTGATGGGCACTTGGGTTATTCCACTTTTTTTTGGTTATTAGCAACAATGAAAAGCCATGATTTTAGAACTGCCTGGTATGGGGCCTCCTACCATTTCTCAGTGATTTAAGTACTTAGTAAATATTTGATGAAGAGATTTCTAAAATTCTTTGAAGTCCAGTATGTCTCTCTTTTTTTCATGTTGGCATTTTCCAGAGTGTGTTCCAGGCTATACTAGTCTCACAAGCTCACAAACTGTTCCTCCAAAAACAGACACGCAACTGCAAAGCAAAAAACAAAGCCAAGATGGTATCTTCAAATAAATTTGGGAGCCACTGCATAATATACACCCCATTCTTAGAAATGATTCCCAATATTCATTAACATATTAAAGGCTCTGAGAAGTCCCACTGCAATCCCTCCTAATATCCCACAGTGGAAGCTCACTTTGAGAAATGCTAAAGCAGGCAAATGCCTTTCTGTGTTCATTCATATCCTAGTTCAAGGTCCCCAGGGGTGTTGTTTTATGCAGTGTCATCCCTCCCACCTAGTGGAGCATAATGCCTGGAATTTACTAGAGAATTAAAAAAAAAAAAAAAGTTACCGAATAAATTTTTCTGAAGCCATTGTTTTTCAGCATTTCACTGTCTCATAGGCCTCAGTATTGACTGCAAATTTTCACCATTATATAGTTTTCTTTTTCTAGATAATTTTGAAAGCTGAGAAATGAAGCTGATAGCCTATCCCTTGGGCATTCTTGCTCTTGTTTACTCTTCTTTATTCCTACCTTACTTAAAAGCTGGTATCCTAGGGGCGCCTGGGTGGCTCAGTCGGTTAAGCGGCTGCCGTCGGCTCACGTCATGATCCCAGGGTCCTGGGATCAAGCCCTGCATCCAGCTCCTTGCTCAGTGGGGAGCCTGTTTCTCCCTCTCCCTCTGCCTCTCCCCCTGCTTGTGCTCTCTGTCTCTCTCAAATAAATAAAATCTTAAAAAAACAACAACAACCTGGTATCCTATGTCTAATAGCCTCTTTCCCCCAACCTTATGGTGAATGACATCTTTTGATCTTTTAATTTAGCTTTGACATTATTCAAAATTAATACATACCCCCTTACTCCTCCCAATGAGAATAAGGTAGCAACGGCAAAATAGAAGAATTCACACTCTAAGAACGGAGCGTAGTAGCCAGACAACCTTTCCTGGAGCAGGAGATGCAGTTAATATTTTAAAACTTGCAAATGAGCCAAAAGAAAATGAGAGGCCTACAGGGTCACAAGAAGGATAATGAGGTCTGCTGGAAGACATGAAAAAAGAAGAAAGAATGTTTTTACCAAAAATGCCTGTAGAAAATTATACATGTGTTTAACATACCTGCTTAACAAGGTCACTGGCACAATGTGCAAGAGCTAAGCTTTTCCAGCAATTTTTGAATACCATGCAGGTTAAACAGATTGCTCCTGAATTCAATGGCATTTCCTCTAAAATATCAATGCTCAATGACCACCAGTGTGAGAAAATTAAAATAAATGTATTCTGGTTTTAAAACGCACTTATGATTTTTTTTTTAAAAAATCAGCATAGGATACGCAGTGTGGTAAAAATGAACTCCTGTCTTGAATAGCTTTCCTTATACTGCTGATCTAAAATGTCTGACATTTCTTGCTGTGGAATGATCTTAATTTTCTCTGTTTTATGTTGGGGAGGAAGAATTCCTCTGCCCTTCAAAGTCCTTCTAGCTGGACTAAGAATCAAATTGACATGAGACAGATTAACAGGAGAAAATCAAATTTAATGGCATACTTAGGGGGAATACCCAACACAGACAAGGAAATTTTATTTTTTTTAAGATTTTATTTATTTATTTGATAGAGACAGAGAGAGCACAAGCAGGGGGAGCAGCAGAGGGAGAGGGAGAAGCAGACCTCCCCACCGGCCGAGCAGGGAGCCCGATGGGGGGCTCAATCCAGGACCTGAGCCGAAGGTAGATGCTTAATTGACTGAGCCTCTCAGGCGCCCCAGAAATTTTAAAGACAGTCAGGCAAAATGAGGTATATATGTCATCTTGAACCAAGAAAGAGGGAATAGGGGCCTGGGTCTTCAAAGGGAAAGGATGCAATCTTCAGGAAGAATGAAAAATAGTAAATGTTTGGTAAACACATGTTTGCTGGGCCATTCAGGAGCAATGGGACAAAGAGAGGACTTTGATCGAACAGGTCTTGCTAGGTTCCTCCCTGTCTGCAGTACCTAGTTCATATTATACCGCAGTTATGCATGGTGATAGCTCTCTTCCTGGAGCAGCTCCTCTTTTAGGCAGTTGAGGGGGAAGGTCAAGAGCTTTTCCTGAATCTGCTGGGGTTTGATTGCTTTTTAACTCAAAATCATCTTCATGCCAAAGTTGCCCACCGTGGATAGCCTGCCCTTAGGTCCTACCCCTACATCAAGAACAGCATGGTGTCAGATGGGCAGGTTACTTATAAACTGACTTATAAACCTTTAACTTAATTTAAAGAAACTAACTTAATTAGACATTGTCAGTTAACTTTCTTTTCACTGCAAATAATGGTTGAGGGACTTACTGAGTGCCAGGCCCTCTGTG